TGAGGGATCAATAAGAATAAGTAGTTAAACCCTAAAATATCAACTGACACCCCATGTCAGTTTATGACATCACTCTAGTTTCATCCACATCTCCTATTTGTTTTCAGACAGGCCATCAAGTCGAAGTTGTAGGATCTTAGACAAAGATTTGGATCAAGCTGTCTTTCTGTTTTTCCCTGAGATAAGAAAGTAGAGCAGGATCCATCTCACCAATGTGTCAAAGCCTGGAGAGCTGGGCCACCTGCAACAGCGCCTATAAGGAAAATGTCTAGCAATGTAGATGTCTGAGCTATTTATAGAACAATTACTTTAAATGCGACGGACGAGAAATTAGCAGAAGATTTACTATTCTCATAATTATCTTTCTTTTTATGATTTATTTATCTTTATTTTATACATAAGAATGTTTTGTTTGCACATGTGTATGTATGCCACATGCATGTCCAGCACCCATGGAGGTCAGAAAAGACCATGGATCCTCTGGAACTGGGATTACAGATAGTTGTGAATTGTCATGTGGGTGTTAGGAATCAAACTCAGTCCTCTGGAAGAGCAACAGCTGCTCTTAAATTCTGGGCCAGCCCTCCAGGCTTTCTCACAGTGATCTTAAAGTATGATCAGCTTTCTTTTCTCTTTTAAAAGTAGATTTATTGTCTTCTTCAAAGTATCTACATTTAGATATGATTTTCCAGACAGTAGCCCCCCCCACCCCTTCTCTCCACTCCCTCCTCTTTTCTGACATCTCTAAGTAGTTCGTCATACAGTGGCATTACTAATGGCCTGACTTTTTCAGGAAATGATTCATTACTTTATAATTTCAATTCAGTAGCCAGTTTCAGCTATGCGATAAATTTAAATCCTCTACTATCAAGATAACATTTTTTCCTCCCGTCACTGAGATATAACGATTGAAAACCATCTCTAGAAGCTGGCCCTGTTGGAGACAGTGCTTATGGATTCGTCTTCCAGAGCAGCTTGCACCGTGTCCGTTATCACTGCCAATCTCATAGGCTCTCCTATCAGTGCACACAGGCAGATGACACAGACACACCGCTTCGTGGTAGTCCTTTGCAGAGCTGTCCAAGAGTTTAAGTATCCCCTGCTGATGCACCATTGGATGTGTCCATTGTTTTGTGATCACAAACAATGTCACCATGGGCAGTCTTCTCCCGATTTCAGGTCAGCCATGTGCCATCAGCGGTTGAATGATCAGTGGGAATGGGATCAGCAGATCAGTTCCTTAGAATCAGGGTCGGAGGATTTGGATGACTGTCTCCATGTCTCTTTCTCTTGAGGTGGACATCCCCACCGATACTGGAAAAAAATCCAATTTTTAGCTCCCATTTCCCTTGCTCCCTCTCTACCCACCCGTTATGTTTTCTTACCTTCCTCCCTTTTCTTTCTGGTCAGTTTAAACATGCAGATAACTTAGCAGCACAGGGTAGAGAGACCTAGCTACTTGTCCCACCCACTTGGGAATCTGAATTCCTGTCCCTTGCCTTAGTGGATTTTCCAGTCCTCTTTACTTACAGGCCAGTCTCTGTTAGGACAGGGTTTGAAGTCTGTTTCTAACCATCTGCTTTTCCTTTGGTCCTTTGCTCCCCTCATCTGTGGAAGTAAGTTATCCTATGATGTGTAGGTCCCTCCAGCTATGATGCTGAGTTTGGCTGACTAGAGAGACGTTGTTATAGCAAATGAGAAATGAACTGGCATCTTATAGCTCCTGTTCACAACAACCAGTAGGAGAAAAGCCAGCAGCCTCCAGGTGAGTTCTGGGAGCATTTAGAACAGAAACAAACATGCAAGAAACAGCTATGGACAGTGTGGGAAAAGATACTGGTCTTCTCACAACTGTAGGGACATTTTGAAATTCCCCACTAAGTAATAATAATAATAAATTCCAGTTCCATGAATTAATTCAAAGTCACCAGCCCATGCAGGTTCTAGTGTCTGCACAGTGTTCTTGGATCTTGAATTCAGGAGCTATTGTACGTTTTTACCTTTTTTTTTTTTTGTCTTTTCTTTTTAAAATATTTTTAAAAGGATGGCAAGCTCTATCTTGTTTTAAGTAATGATCCAAGGACAGAATGGCACCCACCCACCACTTGGGTGTCCATGGAGCACTGTGGGTACTGCACAGCCCACATTAAACAATCCATGCTTGAGGGTTGATGGTTCAAGTTAGTTTGAAATGAGAAATTGCCAGTGACCTAAAACCCATCATAATTAACCTTGTGGCACAACATTGCCGTAACCAGTAGCCAACTCTCATTTTTTAAATTTTTTTCCTTTGGTTGGAAGAAAGGCTCATTGATAGAAGTTGGCTCAAGTCCTTTTGTTTAAGTTAAGTGGTCAGACCACCAAGAAGAATTGCTTTCTGTTGATTGGGAACAGGTCTGAATGCAGATGTTCCTCATATGGGCCCTCCACTGTGGCTTACACACCCACAATTGGTTCGAGCAGTGTTTATATATACTCTGTGTGAAGCATCTATGTGTTACCATTTAACTCTTCAAAAGTAATTATCTTCTAATAATTCATATTTTTGTTGCTTAAGTGCATTTACATTGAATAAAAAAGTTCATTTTCCCTTCTTTCTTCTAAAAATAGGATGAGTGACAAAAAAGAAAACTTGAGATAGGAAGGATTTGGGGATGTATGGTGTAGGATAATAATACCAACGCTACCTCCGGGTATTTCACAGTAGAATGTTTTGGCAGGGTGAGTCCAGTTCATTTCAAAAGTGGTTTCATAGGTTATTATGTTGGCTGGTCAGGGGGTTGGGGTTCTCATGAAGATTTGCTTTCCCATGGGACAGTAAATATTTCAGAATCCTGTCTGTGGCATCCACAGAGGTCCCCTGAGTCACAAGAGAGTTCCAATTGGCGCCCTTCCCAAAGACGGCTCCCAGTATGGCCTCGGCTATTTGCTCTGTTTATTATGCTATTTCAGTATGTTGGGCTTGCTTCAGTTTGTGGCCAGAAGGGGACATTCTTAGTCCAGATCAAAGCATTGAGAAATTGCCTTTCTACAGTTCCCAGTAATCCCTGTTTCTTCCCACGTGTTACAGTAAGCCTCACTCCTGCCCACAATTCCCACCACAGTCCTGCCCACAATTCCCACCACACTCCTTCCCACAATTCCCACTCTACTTCTTCCCACAGGTCTCAGCAAACCTCACCTCTTTCCACAATCCTGCATGTCTCCTCTTTCCCACAATTCTCAGGGAGCCCCACTTGTGTGGTATGTTTGTAAGTAACCCATGTCTTCTTCATTGTGAGCTTCCAGGTTTTATCCTATCCGCTTCTTACCACTTGGGGCATTTCTTCAGCATTCCCTGTGACAGCTGTCCTTCATGTCTTTGACAGACAATAGCGAGAATTCATCAATAACTCTGACTTTTAGATGCTGCACCCTGTCTTTTTGTTTTTCCTGTTGGTATTTGTATGTGAAGACTTCTAGACAAGGTCCAGCTTGCCAGGAGTCTTATCAGTGTTATTAAATGCATTTTGCATATAAAACAAGGAAGAAACATTGTTTATCTGCTGCCCCATTATTGTTGGCACAATGCCTGCCTTTCACTGTGGAGCAAATGAACAGAGTAATCAAATAGGGGAGTTATGACTCCAGGTCCTAATGCTAGGAACTCAGGAATGTCACCTTGCAAAGAAGACTTTGCAGCTGTGGTTGTATTAGGGACTGGGGGTAGCAAGATGATCTCTATGTGCTGCTATAAACTTTCATATTAGAGGGAAGCATAGGGTAGTGTGCCTACCGAAGAGAGAGAAGGCCTTGTGATGGCAGAGGCACCAGGAAGAGTTGCAATGCAGCCTCGAATGAAGATGTCAGTGGTTCCCAGAAGCTGCAAGGGGCAAGGAAGGCATTTCCTTCTAGAGCAACAGGGAAGAACCAGTTCTATTGTCATGTTGATTTTAGTTCAATGACACTGACTTTGTATTTCTAGAACCAGGAGACAATAAATTTGCGTTGTTGTTTTAGGCCCTGTAAGTCTGGCTGTTATAGCAGTCATTAGAAACTAATAAAAATACCAATAGCAAGATTAAAAACTTAGAAAGAGCCTTATACTTAGATGTTGTCTATATTCCTTTTTGTGGAAATTTTTGCTGATTGTTTCCTTTCTTGCTTTTTTTGGCCTTTCAACTGAAATAGTTACTTGAATGCCTATATTGTTGGGAATAAAAGAAGGAGGAGGAGAAAAAGAAGAAGAAGAACAACCACAATAACTTGCTAACAGTTCGCCAAATTTTGATGTCAATCCTATAGCTGCTCCATAAAGCTTTAGGGTCAAGACCTGGTCTTCCATGTGACATCCTGGGTTGCAGTAGTTGAGAGAAGAAAGTTCCATATTTACATCAACAAGTACTTGACTATGACTCCCACTTGTCCAGACAGGCCTTGATTCTTCTCTTAGTATAAAAGCTTTGAAAGTAGGCAGCTCAGGTTGTGAGCAAAGGTTCTCAGATACCATGATTACATAATTCTCCCCCAGAGCCTTAGCTATACCTCCAGGCGGTTTTCTCAGGCAACTAAGATGGGAAAGACAGAGGCAGGAATTCTTCTAGCATTGTCAAAACAGAATTTTATCACATGGTTTCCCATAGCTGCAAGGGAGTCTGGAAAGGCTATTACTTTTACTAGGTATATGATTACCTAGAATTAACATGGAGCATTGTTAATAAAGAAGAAGATAATGATAAAAGGTGGTTTCCAGCAGTATTTGTTTAAGGTGCCATGGGTTGCGTTTTGGATCTAGTACTTGGAACATGGTAACTTTAACCATTCTTAGTCTGAGTTTTGTCCCCTGTAAAATGAGGGTAACCACTGGATCAAAATCAAGATTACTGAAAAGATCAAATTACACCATACTCACAAAAACTTTGAACAAAGTCTGCCCTACAATTAGTTGGTATTCTATTATTCATTTTTGGTGACCACTATTGTGCCCAAATTCTGAACCTCCTAAATCACCAAGAGACCCATTCTGATGCAAAAGCAAAGTCTTTTATTATTTAACGAGATAACTCCATTAGCTTAGGCCTTTCATCTGTTCATAGAGTCAGGTGCTTGGAGAAGGAACCAGGGGAACCACGAGGCAGGGAATACATTGGGTAGAACAAGGGGAGTATCTAGGGGTAAGCAACAGTCTCAGGATTGGAGCACTTCTGGGCTTGGATGACATGTCCTGTGTTGATTGGTCAACTGCTTGTTATGACCTGTAGGCCCTCCCAGGGCAGTTGCTATGCTCTGCATGTCACTGTTGTGCACTTGTACTGTAAAGCACACCCAGAGCCATAAAGCACAGCCCTGACAGCCAGCTTCTCATTGGTTCCTTACCACGAGGAGGGTACCTGGCCTCCTAGTGACTAGGGCAGGCCCAGCAAGGTCAGACATGTGCTGAATCAGAGGCCTACATGTCTTTTCTGCAGCCTGTCATGGTTGCTAAAGCAGGGGGGCTGGGCCCTTCACCAACAGCTTCATTTCAGCCTCCTTGCATATACTTCCTCTTTCTTTTCCTCTGTCACCATCACCATCATATCCGTCACCCACAGAGATGCTAAGTTCATTTGCTTTTCTGCAAAACATGTCCAAAACTATTACAACAATTTCTGTAAGAATATCCACTTTATGTTTTCTTTCCTTTTGCCTGTGACCTGGCTTCAGGTGTAAAGAGTACACTGAAACTTGACCTCCACAGTCCACGCTTTTTCCTGGGAGCTTCCTTCCCAGACCCCATCTCTCACTACCTAACACACACTTGGTGTGCACCCACACACACTCACATGCATGCTGTTTGTTGATGGATTGAGTTAACATTTTGCAGAATAACAATTACTTGCTGACTGTATTCCTTGTGGAATCAATTTGTTTCTTCTCTGACAACAAGGCCAGTTCAAAAGGACTTCCTGATAGAGCTGATAGGTGGACCAATTTGTTTAATAATACTAGTCGTTGTCAGGATACTGCATCAATAATACTAGTATAATACTAGTAGTTGTCATGATACTGCATCTCCTAGTTTGAACCCAGCATGTGCAGGCTGAATGCCCCATGCTGACCACAGTGGAAATGACAAACGTTGTCATATCAAATGTGATATCTCTCACTGATTAAGGATTTATACACTCACACATTACATTTAGGCTTTTGGGGGGGAGGGGGTTCGTGAAGCAGTTTTCTTAAGCTGAATATATAATATGCATATAATACATACTTGTAATTTCAGCAGCAGGGAGAGTGTGGCAGAAGAATCAGGAGTTCAAGGTCCTCCTTTGTTATGTAGTGAACTGTGAATCAGCCTGGGCTAGAGGAAACCTTGTCTCCTAAAATAAAATAAAATAAAAACCAACCAGAGAAAAAAATCTCCTTACCCTTTTGTGTCTTTAAACAGTCCTATCCCCTTTTAAAGCTTTCACCTCTAAAAGAACCCTGCTGCATTTTCAGAGAACAGTGAGCCCTCACTGAGGGAAGCCAGCAACTTTGCTGGTATTGTGACAACAGCCAGGCTTGGCATTGGAGTGGACACTAAGGAATCTGTAACTAAATGGACACCGAGTGGATGCATGAGCCAGTCCTCTGTGTGGTCTCAAGCAAGTTTTCAGAGACTGTGAGACTTTGGAAGTCTGACTTAATTTATGTATTAATTGCCACTAGGCTTCCAGGAGACATGGGGAACATATAGGAGATTTGTGAAAAATACCAGAAACCCTGAGCATTTAGTGAAGAGGAGAAGATACGTTTTGAGCAGGCTTGGGGCACATGGTGTGTGTTGGTGGCAAAACATGCTTGGACTGACTGTTGTTAGTGACTGAGTTTCCTTCCCTATATATTTTATGCTAATGTGTTTTTCCCCTTCTAACACAAAGTCCAGTGTGTGTAAATGCATTCCTCCCTTGATCTGCTAAGCAGTCAGGACTGAGGAAGCTTAGAATGGGAGTTATAGCTGTAAGGATGACAGAAGGCTTGTGGAAACTTAACACCTCTTTCCTCCTAGGAGAACTGAGCAGACCCTAGGACTCCCTTGCAGTCCTGGAGCTTTTTAGCTCTTTTCTTTCCTGGGGGTTAACTCTTGTGCCAGCAATGCCAGAGCCCCAGTGGGCAAAGTGAGCTGCGCACAGGTGTGTGAGGAGACTCAGGAAGGCCAGTGTGCTTATGTCTGCAGGAGGCCCAGGACTGGGGAAGGGATCCAGGTGGATTCCAGAGGTATCGTCCAGGTGGTAGTGTTTTCCTTGCAAGTAGGACACCTGAGGTTGATGCCCAGAACCCATGTAAACAGCAGAGCATGGTGGAGCTTGCACGTAATCTGAGCACCAGAGAGGAGGAGGTTGGCGGGTCCTTGGGGTGTGCTGGTCAAGTTCAAGGCCAGTGAGGACCTAAATTTAAAAAAGGAAAGAAAGTAAAAGACAGGGGGGAGGGAGGAAGGAAGGAAGGAAGGAAGGAGGGAGGGAGGGAGGGAGGGAGGGAAGGAAGGAAGGAAGGAGGGAGGGAGGGAGGGAGGGAAGGAAGGAAGGAAGGAAGGAAGGAAGGAAGGAAGGAAGGAAGGAAGGAAGGAAGGGACGGTTGGAAACTCCAGACGTAGGAGTTTGTCTTCTGGTTCCCACATGCACAAACACACACATATATCTGCATTGCTCTCACCACATGTGTTCCCACTCCTACACCCACACGAATAAACATACCAAGGGCCAGGCCAGAAGCCAAGGGAGGCTCTGGTTCAAGTACTGCCTTGCTCTCCTTTTCTTTTCTTCCTTTCAGAATTCCATACATGGATACCATGTAGCTTTGTCATATCCACCCTTTCCCTTCCCCGCCAACTTTTCTTATGGCCCCATCTATCTATCTTCTTATCTCCTACTGAGTCTATTTAGTGTTGCCTGCATGTACAGTGGTCTAGAACTAACTACTGGAACAGAGGCAACCTATGAGGGACTCATCCCTGAAGAAAACTGACCCTCCTTTCCCCCCACTTCCCCCTTCCCTCTTCCTCCCTCCCTCCCTCCCCCTCCCTTTCCCCTCCCTCCCTCCCTCCCCCTCCCTCCTCCCTCCCCCTCCCTCCCTCCCTCAGCTGCCATCTACTGCCCATAGCTCTTGAGCTAGGGGTAGGGCCGCTATCAGTATTGGAATATTGGCTGGTGTGATCTTGTGCCTGTGATTGTGGCTACCGAGAGGTCATGGGTGCAGCACCCCGGTACATCCGAAAGAGACGCAGGTGCATTCAGTCTTCTGGCTGCTGTTCAGCGGATTTTCCTGTGTTGGCCCTGTCCAGTTCAGTTAGACCGAAGACTTCTTCCTAGTTTCACACATTCTTTGCAGCCGCTATTTGCATAGCAATGCCCGGCTAAGGGAGCACATGTGCATCCACTTGACCAGTCTCCTGGCTTTGCATTGTTAGCAGTTTCCTGTTTGTTTGTGTCTCATTTTTGTTTCGCTTTGATTTTGAATAGAGTTGCTGCAGTACAGGGCAGTCCCCGCAATATTTTGTTGTTGTTATTGTTTGCTTTAAATCCGAGAAGGGCTAACCATCTGGGAATGGAGGGTTCAGGCTCTATGGGTCTGTGCTGTGGAATTCCCTTTTAGAAGACTTAGGCCTGGACTGCGGAGATGGCTCAGTGGGTAATGTGCTTACTGTGCCAGCATTAGGACCCGTTTTTGTATCCTCTGCACTTATCAAAAGCAGGCATCAGTGCAGCCTTGCAAGGTTGACACTGGCTGGTGGAGCTAGGTGGGTCCCTGGAGCTCACTGGTCTGCCAGTCCTGCTGAGACAGAGATTTGGGGATTAAGTGAGAGGCTGTCTTAAAGGGTGAAGGGAGTGCAGGCATGGTGTCACATGCCTTTAGTTCCAGCACTCAGGAGGTAGAGGAAGGTAAATCTCTGAGTTTGAGGCCACCTTGGTGTCCCATACCCTGCACATAACTATACCCTGGATATCCAGGACTAAATAGAGAGACCCTGACTCAAAAATAAAAATAATAGATAGATAAATAAATAAATAAATAAATAAATGTTTGGGGGAAACAATTGAGGAAGACAACAATATAAACTGACCTCAGTGTCTATATATACACAGATGCACATGTACCTACGCACACACACACACACACACACACACACACACACACAAAGAATGGGGTAAACAACTGGAGAGACTTGAGTGCTAATGGTGCTTTGTAGAAATATGCATGCGTATTCATGCACACACAGAGCCCTCCCACACAAGCACACACATGCTGACACATACACACTCTCCTGTGGCTCAAAGGAAGCAGCATCTCTTCCCTGGGAGTGCTATTTGCTTCCAGCGAACATTTGCTAAGAACACTCTTGTATGTCCCAGTGTGTTGGAGAGGGACAACCAGCAGCCAGCAGCCGGCAGCCAGCAGGTAGACTATCCAAGCATCCTTCTATGTACAGCCTGATGACCACTGAGTTATCTGTCTCCACATTCAATTGTGCTGGGCTTCAGAACCCCTGGCATAAATCATGGGCAAGAATGAGCAAAGTAGTGACAGAGAAGAGTTCCCTTTACATTGTGTGTCCGGGCACGAATGTGTGCATGTGTGTGTGTATGCACACTTGTGTGAACGACCATATGGGAGGCTGGAAAAATGCAGTATCTGTTCTGTTAGAAAAGTGCCTGATCTCAGTTCTAGAGGCTGACCTCCTGCCTTTTGACTCCCTGTCTAGAAAGTTCACCTCACAGCAGGCTTGTCTCTCCATCAGCCTCACTCGTAGGGACCCATGTGGATCTATTAGAGCGCTGTAGTCCCTCTCCCTGTTTATGAGACACTGGACCAAGAAGAAGTGAGTGTGGACAGGGAGACAATCATCATTCATTTTGTCCCCCATAAGCATCTCCTGCTTCTTTCTGGGAAGACAGCCCTAGCCCCCTGTGAGTTAGTGTGGTGTGCTCTTTCTGCAGCTGCACTGTGAAAAGCAAAGTGGTAGTGACTTTTTCCTTATGGCTGCTGAAAAGGTTACAGTGTTTGGACCACTGCCTGTTTCTATGCCAGAGCACAAAAGATCCAGGAGTAGAAATGGGTTCTAACAATATCCCTTTAGAAAACACCAAGGGACGTGTCCTTTTCCTTTTGAGTTAAAGGCCTTGCCTCCATCACACTTGATCCCTGCTTCCTGCAAGGAAGCCACCATTGAGAGTCCTGGTGATCCAGAAGCAATCTAAGGAAAGTGAGAGTTCTCCTAGGTGCATGCAGGCCTGTCCTTGTGGGTGTCTGATTTCTAGAAAACTTTTGGCTTTTATGTGGATGAGGTTGCAGAGTGGAGAGGAGAGTTCATAAATTCTCCTTTTTGTTCGTATCAGCTGTGTTTCATGTTGCTATGCCGAAAGGCTTGACAAAAACATCTAAAAAGAGTCGGATTTACTTTGGCTCACAGTTCTAAGGGATGCTGTCCAGCATGCTTGGTGAAGGCATGGCAGCTTGAGTCAACTAGTCACATGCCATCCTCAGTCAGGAAGCAAAGTGATGAGTTCTGGTGTTCAACTCACTTTCTTCTGTTTATGAAGTTGGACATGTGTTGCTTAAATTTAGGGTGGGTTTTCCTGCTTAACTTAATCTAATGTAGAAAGTTCCTGATAGACACACCAAGAGGTGTGTTTCCATGGTTCCTCTTAATTCAGTTATGTTAATTATCAAGATTAACCATTATTTCACTGTGGACTGGAGAGATGGCTCAGTGGTTAAAAGCACTCGCTGCTCTTCCAGAGGACCTGAATCTGGGTCCCAGAACTCATGTGATAGCCCACAACAGTCTATAACTCCAGTTCTATGACATCTTATGCCCTTTTCTGGCGCCTGCAGATACACATATGTGTATATACATACATACACATATGTAAAAGTAAGATAAATATTTTTTAAAAGATCACACAAGTGTCAATGGTCAAATTTCACACCACAAGGTGCTCTGGTTGCAAACAACAGCAAAGATTTGGTAATAAAGGGGAAAAGCAACAGAATGCAGTATCAGATGTCAGGTTGGTTGCCTATCAAAAACACAAACCCACTAATCTTACCTTCCAGAGAGAAAACGCTGGCTTTGGTACACCAACCGACTGGTGAACTTCCAGCCCTGCCCTTGTAGGCCTGTGGCTTTCCCCCTCGTGTGTGAAGTCCAGTGACCACACCCCCAGAGGCTCATGAATGCTTAAGTGCTGCCCTGGGGTGACTCAGCCCAGTCCTCTTTCCATTGCCACTCATGGGATTCAGGTTCTCAGTGTGCTGGCCAAAGGTCTGTTCTCCTGAGCTGAGAAGCTGGAGAAGAACATTTGAATGAACAAGAGGTACTTTATGCAAGTATCTATAAAAACACTTCAAAAGTCAATGACTGGTAGAGTATGGGGTCACACACCTGAAGTCCTAGGACCTGGGAGGCAGAGGCAAGGGGAGCATGAGTTTGAGGCCTGTATGGGTGGCACAGTGGGACTCAGTCTCAAAAAAACAAAATTAAAAGAGAAGCTAAAGATCCAATGCAGCTGCTGAGAAGGGAGGAAATGAAAGGCCACTAGCTCTTCCTCGGTCACCACCCCACGTACTTGCCCATTGACAGTGGACCCCTCTCTCTGTCTCTGTCTCTCTGTCTCTGTCTCTCTGTCTCTGTTTCTCTCTCTGTCTCTGTCTCTCTCTCTCCCTTCTCTATGTGTGTGTATGTAAAGGTGGTTATCCTTACACATATGTTCTTTCCTATTTCCTGATTAATTTTTCCTGAATTAAATCTCAGTCCACTTTTTCCCCATCTCTATATACCTCACATACACTGGGATATCAAACCCAGGAAGCTGGCATTATGCCACTTGAGCCCATCCTTTCATGGTGAATACCCCTCTCCCAAGATGTGGTACCTGTGATGTGCTGCTGTGTGTACAGTGGGAATGAAGGTTGTGAGTGAAGTTGAGGTCACTCATCTGTGTTGCTAAAATACAGACATGGCCATTATCTCTACTATTCCAGTTTAACTTTGATAGCTATTAGTATCATATTGACAAAATCTAGGCCTACCCATTGACATGCCTGAAAGGTTCAGGCATTACACAGGCCTGCCCCTGTTACCTGGCAGAATGCACTCAGACAGCACTCTGGCCGGCCCAGGGTTCCATGAGAACCAGTCTGCACGCAGGACCCCTCTAAAAGACAGACCCCTGCCCACTTACGCTCTCTTATCTCACTCTTCTTTTCTCTTCTCTCTTACGCTCGCTGTCTTGCCACTCTCTCGCCTCTCTCTCATGTCTGTCTCCCCACTTTCGCTCTCCCATTGCTGGAATAAACTACGATAACCGTGCTCTCCATGGCTTGTGCTTAGCCCATCGCTCCGGTCCCGGTTCCTGTT